AAGCAATGGACAAAATACAAGAAACAAACCCTAAAAACTAAGAGATAAGAATACTAAATATGTTAATGAGTGGCGTAACCAATTGCAAAGAAGCAATGCGGCAAGCATTAAAAAAAGGAAGGGCCATTTTTAACTACAACTGTAAACCGTAACAAAATCCCAAAACAAGGCCTCTGGAGCCCGAAAGGGCAAATTAGCAACAAATTCTCTGGAGGGGCCCTTAAATGATACTATTTATATATATATATATACTGTTAACATAGTGAACGTACTTGATGGACACAATGTAAATCAAAGGAAAGTCATAATGGACCCTTGTCATGGAAATTTTTTCCTCATTCGAATCCAACTCAACTTGAATCAACCTTATCCGCCTCTTATTACTTTTTCTCTTATTCGGCATTTTAAAACTTTTCACACTTGGGATAACCAACTCAAACAGGAAAATTGCCTCAGAGAAAAATTCGAGTACATGTCTAATTTATTTCGCTATTGCCGGAGCTTCCTCTTAGGGTTGTTTTTCATGATGACAACAAGCATAATTTGTAGCAAATTTTTGATAAATATAAAAGCAAAATAAGAGTTGTTTCTACGTGTGAGTGTCTTTTAATCGCATCAGTGCATTCGGTTTATTCAGAATCTTCCCTACCTGGCATATGATTTTATAAAGCAACTTTGTATTTAAAAGTTATTCCCTATTCTCTAGAGGAGCCCAACTGATTGCTAAGATCGTTGGATTGTTTTCGGGATGAGATTTCAGATAAGGAAAAATCTTCGGATCCTTTACTTAAAAAGCAGTGTCGTGACGTAGACCGCCATTTTTCACTTTTCTTTCTTGCGCTTTTCATGTTTGCCTACTTCACTGCAAATAAAATTTCAATACAGGTTAGGAACTTTCTCGCTCTCTGTCGTCTTATATGTTAATCTATCTGCTTTTCTGTGTTATCACAGCTCTCTACTTTTTTTTATCATAAGCAATAAAGCAGGCAGAGGGCACATTGCTACAACAGCCATGCTGTGACGCTTAAAACCAACTTCTCTCAGTTTCTGTAGAAAAACCATTCAGGACGTAAATAATTCAGCTTTCCTTGAAGGGGCTAATCTCCAATTTTTTCCGGCATCTTGACCCAGACGTCAAAACTCTATTTGAGGATCTCGTAAATGTTTTTGGAATGTTAAGCAGTAAACTAAATGATTTATTAAGGGTAACACCAAGCATACCAAACCCCTAAAACATTCTCAAGAAATATAAGACTTTAAGCTATGTGAAAAATCATTGTTTTATTTTAGCCAAGATATAATCTTACATCTTGAACAAAATAAGATAAGGCATTTGCCGGCTGTTTTCAGCAAACACGAGTTAAGATTGTTGAAAAACGCTAATCCAACGAGCGGACAAGATAATTCGAACCGAATTAGCTACAAGAAAAACAATGTGCTTGAAGCTGTTCACTTATTTCGTAGTTTTTCGGTTACATGAAGTGCAGTTTTCACAGCAATGGAAACCGTGGAGCACGTCCAATGACTATTCGAAACAACAAAAAACACGACTAATTTAGGGAATTAATAAAGAATAATCTTCATCGTCTTCCTCCCATAGAATAAGTCCTTTATTGACCAAGCCCTCTTGGTCCTTATCTTTGAATATTGGCCATGGACCAACGAAAATCCGCCGTATTGGCCTTACCCTTGTTCAATAACGTAGAAGAATTAAAGCTTTTTTCTTCAAACAATGAAGCCCAAACACTTATTATTTAAATCTTTTTAAGGGAAGGTACGTTTTTTAT